TATATATATATATATATATATATATATACAGTATATATATATATATATACACATATACATATATCTAATTTATTTAAATTCTGTTCTAACAATACATACATATATACAAATATTTCATTTACTAAAATGCTATATATATATGAGTGTGTAATCTACATAATTTTAGATTACATAACTTCCACTTATATATATACCATGTGTATAACAAATCACATGGATAGGCATCTGAGGTAATAAGGTAGATGAAATCTCACATCCGCAGATACGCATTCCAATTTCTATTTCCTCCCTATGTTGACTTCTTCCTGCCTCTAATGTCTGTTGCATCACTTTCCGAATGTTTAGTGTTATTAACATCATTACACATAATCACACATAATGTAATCTTGGTGGTTTCAGTGGGAGCGATGTTTAGACATCAGCGTCAGGCCTCTGATGCCTCAAAACCCATAATTATCATCCATTCTAAAGAAGCCCGGACAAAGTGAGTTCTGAAAATCTCTCAATCTTCTGTACATCTAAATCTGGACACGCAAGCATGATTTTGTTGCGGTTTAAATGCAGTGAATGCTGCACCTTGTTCAAGGCACGGTGGCGTCTTAATAAGATAAAACTCTTTGGCAGAGATCAGAGCATTTGCGAGAACTGTAACGTGAGAAGTTCACGAGATCCACTGTGACTGAGAAGGAAAGCATAAGACAGTGGTAATGAGGCACTAAGTGATTGAGAGATGGAAGACTGGGGTGTTGCTGTCAGAAACAATCAGCTACATACAGTCAAAGTGATTGCAAGGAAATGCATTACAACATGCATCAACACCTTTGTTTGCTTAATTCAAACAAGCCTTTAGTAAACGCATCCTTTTTACACCCTCATGTGAAAATACAAAAAGCAGAAAATAGAGTTGCTAAGATTTTAACAGCCTCCTGTGGTGTATCATCCAGGTATCCGACAGGACCTCTCCACCCACCGTTCTCGGATTCATCCGCTCTGTCTGGCTTAAAAAGCCAAGGGCAGAGAGGTGAAAGCACACAGCATGATTTAAAAAGTTTAACTTATTATTAATGAAACTGGTCATTAAATCATACAATAATTAGACGCCCACCTCTCCAGAAGTCGTCAATAACACTGCAATTACCACGTTTTTAAAGTTAACCTTCACCAAACAAGCCAGCGTGTGGCCTACGAATAAACGCTAGCTCACCAATAACCAGCCTGTCTTCCTTCGAGCCGTGTTCGCATAGCTGATTCTGTTTGACAGAGCAGCCTTCTGGCTGTCTTCTATATTTCAGCCGGATTTAGTTTTACAACAGGTTTATATGAAAAGCTTTATGTGACGGCAACTGGCAGCATTCAAGTTTTTAAAGTACCCTCCAGTTGCTGTATATCACTGAAAAAGCAACAAGAGGCTGTGTTTCTGATTTTACCACAGTTAAGAAGTGTTTTTAAAACGCAATCAAAAGCACCTTAGTGCAAAGAGTCCCTTAACTGTGGCAAAATCACTGCAATTTGACAAAAACAGCTATGTTCAATAAAAGAAATAAATGTCTTATTAAAAAATCAAATAATTAGTTAAAAAATAAAAATATATATTTATTTTTATTTTTACTACAAAATGCCATATTAAATTAACATTTTATTTTACTATAAATAGACAGATCATATTTATACAGAAGAGGATTAGGGCCAAGTAATAATAAAAAAATTTAACCATCTCGAGATTAAAGTCATTATAATGTGAGATTAAACTCGTTAAATTTCAAGAAAAATGTCGAAATAAAATGTTGAGAATTAAATCATTACATTTCGTGAATAAAGTCGTGTTTCGAGAAAAACTCATACAATTACGAGAAAAAAAGTAATTGTGTTTCGAGAAAAAACTCGTTAAATTTCTAGAAGTCGAAATAAAATGTTGAGAATAAACTCATTAAATTGTGAGAAAAAAAGTCATTGTTTCGATAAAAAACGAATTAAATTTTGAGAAAAAAAAGTCGAAATTAAATGTTGAGAATAAACTCATTAAATTATGAGAATAAAGTCGAAATTAAAGCTTAGAATAAACTCACTCGTGTCATATTTTATCTCGTTGGACAGTGTTAATCAGTGTCTGCAGTGGTGCAGGTTGTAGATAGCGATACTCGTGGAGGAAGCATTTGATGCTGTCGACCAGAGTTCGAATCTGCCTTTTGCCGAACTCTCTTTTTCCTTTTTTCATTACATATTACATCGGATGCTATTTACACCAAGTGAAAGTAGATACTATTTACACTATGTGAAAATAGTGATATATTAAATTTACACTAAGTGACAACAGCAGCATTTTTAGCGATGAGCGATTCTATTTACGCTATGTAAAAGTAGCAGATCTTTGCAATAAGTGTAAATAGTATTTAGATGCTATTTATACTAATAAATTGTGACAGATATTATTTGCACCTCAGTATTGTTGTAGCCTACATTAACAGGATGCAATAATAAATATTAGTAAATGATTTTCTTTATTAAAATGATTAAATAGACGCTGCCTTATTGGTACAACAAAGCCCTCCCTAAAGCCTACCTAAACCTAAACCTACCCAATTAATACATCACTATTAAACACTCGTTAGGCAATTGATTTCTACTTTTCCGATGTGATATGTGATGAAAAAAATAAGAAGAGCGAGTTCGGCAAAAGACGAATTTCGAACTCTGGTAGGCCGCATACACTTCATCCACGAGCATCACTCTCTACGCCCTGCGCCACAGCAGACGCTGATTAACACCGTCCGATGAGATCAGATGAACATGATACGAGTGTGTTTATTCTCAGCATTTTATTTTTACTTTTTTTCTCGAAATTTAACAAGTTTTTTCTCGAAACACAATGACTTTTTTTCTCGTAATTTTATGAGTTTTTCTCAAAACACAATGACTTTATTCTCGAAATGTAATTATTTAATTATCATCATTTTATTTAGACATTTTTTATTTTATTTAAAGGGGTCATATGATGCGATTTCAATTTTTCCTTTCTCTTTGGAGTGTTACAAGCTCTTGGTGCATAAAGAAGATCTGTAAAGTTGCAAAGACTAAAGTCTCAAATCCAAAGAGATATTTTTTATAAAAGTTAAGAGTCAGCCACTCATTCTAACACGCCCCCACATGTCTACATCACAATGTGGGAAGATTTGCATAACACCGCCCAAATGTGCACGCAAAGAAAGAAAGCGTGGTTTCAGGAACAGCAGTAGTGTTAATGCAACACAAAATAATGTTCTTTTTAGCAACATCATATGACCCGTTTAATGAGTTTAATCTCGCATGGATGTTTTTTTTATTTTTATTATTGCTTGGCCCTAATCCTCTTCCGTATATTTAAAATAAATGGTAACACTTTAGTTTAGTGACCAATTCTCACTATTAACTATTAACAAATGCCCTTAAACTGTCTTGTGGTATCTGGCACCAAGACATTAGCAGAAGACCCTTCATGCCATCCAGTTGCAAGGTTGAGCCGCTATGGATTGGACTGGTTGGTCCAGCACATCCCACAGATGGAGATCAGGACAGCACCTTCCTCAAACCATTCATGAACAATGTGTGCAGTGTAGCAGGCCGCAATATCCTACTAAAAAGAGGCCTCTGCCATCAGGGTCTGCAGTGAGGTTTAGGTAGGTAGGCATGTGTCTATATAACATCCACATGAATGGCTGGAAAGAGGGTTTCCCTGCAAAACATTACCCTGAACATCACAGCCCCTCAACCAGTTTGTCATCATCCCACAGTGTATCCTGGTGCCATCACTTCCCCAAGTAAACATGATGTAAAAGACAACAGGTCTCATCAGACCTCGTGTATCCATACTAGGGATTTTCGGCTGTGGACAGGGGTCATTTATGGGCACTCAGAGCAGTCTGCATTTACACAGGTCCATCATTAAAACTGTCGCCACAGACCTTCTACCACTGATGAGCCTTGGAAGCCATACACACTGTCACCAATTTGTGGTTTGTCCCTCCTCGGACCACTCTTGGTAGGTTCTCACAAATGCTGACCAGGAGCATCCCACAAGCCTCGCTATTTCTGAGATGCTCTGACACAGTTGTCTGAACACAACAATTTGACCCTTGTCATTCAGTCACTCAGATTTATATTCCTGTCCATTTCTCCTGCACCAAAACACTGATTACATGAACTGATTGTTCATTTCCCAGAGATGATTATAATGTTTTGGCTCACCAGTTCATTCATATATATATACATATATACATATATACATATATACATACATACACACATACACACACAGACACACACACACACACACATGTATGTATGTATGTATGTATGTATGTATGTATGTGTATATGTATGTATATATGTATATATATATATATATATATATATGCATGCATTTATATAACTTCTTGAGCACCAAATCAAATATTACAATGATTACTGAAGGATCACAATGAAGACTGGAGTAATGGATGCTGAAAATTCAGCTTTGCCATCACAGGAATATAATGCATTTTAAAATATATAAAATTGAGTTATCTTACATTGTAAAAACTTTTCACGATATTACTATATTTTTTTATCAAATAAATGCAGCCTTGGTGAGTATAAGAGGCTTCTTTCAAAAACATTAAAAACCATAATTATGCCAAACTTTTGCCTGCCATTATATATACATATACAGCATGTAAATTAACATGTAAATTTAAATTACCTACACTTATATTCAAATATTGCCAATTCAATCAGATTTAAGAGTCTTTAATACAATTTTAGAGTTTTTGAATAAAATTCGGATATTAATAAAGTTTACTGTATATTTAAATTTCAATATTATACATTTATATATTTGTATATACATATATACTATATATACACAAACTACACATTAAATATGCCCATGCTGAAGGTGTACTGTCACACATTAGACTTGGTGCAAATCACCAGTGATTCTCATTAGGGGATGTCGAACACATAATGTTGAAAGCTTCTAAATGAATTTAATGATATCCTGATGATATTCTGGCATTTCCACCAACTAAAGCTGTCAAGGTGTCATGTCTAATAAACAACATAAAAAACACGGACTTTCAAAATTGTACATAGACTTCCAAAATTGCAGACATGTGCCTCATATCTCTGAGCAGGTACTTGAGTCTCGTTAGTATGAATGTCAGTCAATAATTATAAAAAGCTGCTTTTATGTGTTTGAGGGGTTTGAAAATGCTGTCCTTAATCTATGCGTTTGTGTACTCATGTGTAGCCTAATTAAAACAGGAGTTTAGTGAGCCAAAAATGATGAATACATAAAAATAACCAGTGGTGTAGTTGGTACGAATCAATATTTGTATATTTCTCCATAAACATCAACATCATGGCTTTACAATACAGTTTATGTTTAGTGTTAATTTGTTACAAATAATGTGTGTAATGTTACATTTTTGCAAGACTGTTCTGGAAGCATATCAACTTAACACCTGTCACCTCAATCACCTGATCATCACACAAAATACAAAAGGAAGTTCAGAAAGAACGGGAAACTTTGTGGTATGGCGTGACAAACTGGGTTTTAACAAAAGCTCCAGGGTTTGAGACAGCGCTCTTTGTAAGTAATGTGTCTCCATTTGTCTCCTGCTGCATCACATTTTCTTCAGCAACGATCCCTGGATGAGCTTCTGTGCGGTACTCTCGCAGCCGAGGCCCTTTCACCATGCAAAATCAAAAAATAATACATCACCCGGAGAGCAGAACCCCTCTCGTTAATCTGGGCTAATCTATGGGCATCTTTTGAGAGGAGGGGGCGACACTGGCAGGAGGCCCTTTCTCTGCCGTCCCTGACCTCTTTGACCCTTATGAATTGCATAAAGGTGAAGAAAAAAAAAAGGGTGAAGAGTTAAACTAGATTTTTACATTTTATGAAGAAAACATGCTTGCTGCTACAATGTTAGGGTATTGTGGTCTATAGATATGACTCAGGTACCTTCTTCAACATAAATCTGTGGGATTAATTCATCTGTCCAATCGTCCACCAGCCATAAATCGTAAATTCAATAACTTATAAATGTAATAGTACCCATTTTAAGGTATTTATATATCCGTAGCACAAAAAACTAACTCTTAAGTTTGAGCTATAATTATATTGATGCTCGCCATACTAAAGTTTAGTACATAAAGATGTTACATAACCTCACAGATTATAAATTCCCTCTATATAGGTGTTAATTAACATTGCTGCCAGTGACAACGGAACATTCTGAAAAAAATATGTTTCCATTTTTGTAGCGGCACATATTCAGTGTCAGAATGTGTAATGGATTTAAAAAGAGACTGATTCTTGACATTTTGGGTGGTATTTCAGAAGCATAAACAAATGATGGGTCATTTTTACAGTATAATATTATAACCTCATATTGACTAGCATCCAACGATCACTGCCGCCAACTCGTAGCAACTATTGATTGTGGAGCTTTTAAAAACTTCAAGTATTCTCCAGAAACATCTCATCTCAGTGCTGAGCGTACATCTTTTAATCATGTCATTGCATTTATTGATCGCTACGCCTTTTAATAACATATATACCAACTCTGAGTAATATTTTGTGGTTGGTACTAATATTCCACTGCTTTTAGGGCATTATGGGTACATTATATCATTAATGGACTTACTGTATAGTGTTTCATTCTTGTTGTCATAAAGGTGACAATGAAATCAAAAAGACATCTGGAAAATAAGAGAGAGAGAGAGATCACAGACCCCATCACTCTATGGCAGTTAAGGTGTTAATTGACTCTTTAAAGCCATTGACTCCTGAGCCTATAGCCTAGAAACAATGCTCTTATCTAACTTCCTCAACCTGGCTTCCACTTTGCATATTTTTGCATATTGCCAGGGAGAAATTTGCATGTCAATCATGTGAGTGGATGACATTTAAAAAGACCGTAAAGGACTCGTGAGAAATTAATTGCAAACACTCAGCGCTTTCTCCCACAGTCGAAATTTCTTTACATCCCTTTGTAGAGAAATCCAAAAATGCTCTACGTAAAAGACTAATAATTAGGATGCCAGTATTAAGAGACCAGCATTTCGAAACAATGAATTATACTAATTCTTTTTCTCATTGTGTCGGTACAATAAGGCAGTCACATGGACAGCTTTAGGCAATGTTTGAATTCCTAAGATCAATGCGGGGGCCACAGTTTAATTTATTTCTATATAAATTTATGCTATTCTAGTAATAAGATTATTTTAGTTCAGCAGATATAAGTTTCTTAGGTTAGGAGCCATAATTAGAAATGCTTTACAATGTAAAGTAGAGCCTCTTTGATTAATTTTAATAAGCAACATGGGATTCTAGAACTTATATAGCCAGAAGATATCATCTTCAAGAATACATTTATTTGTTCCTTGGCTTTGGGGAAAAAAAGGAAAGAAAAAATAATAACGATGAGATTGCACACAGCCACACAGTCTGAAAATAAAAAGCAAAGCTCCTCACTGCTAGTGCCAATATGATAATTATTATTTGATTCTAATAGCAAAAGGTCACGTCTTATATCATCTTCTGATACTGATAACAGTCAGTAAACACAATGAGAGAGAAAGGAAAACAGAGAGTTAGAAACAGAAAGAAGAAAGAAAAATAAGAAAGGAAGACACAAACGAAAGGGAACCAAATGAATGAAATGAGGAAAAAGAAGAGGTAAGGAATGTAAGGAAGAAAGAAACATTAGGATGGACAAAACAAATGAAAGAAAAAAGTAGGAATGAAGGACAGAAGGAAGGAAAATAAGGATGAAGAAAATGAAAGGAGGAGAAGGAAAGGGAGAGAAAGAAGGAAATAAAGCAAAGGGAAGAAGAAAAGGATGAAATGAAGGAAGTAAGGGAAGTCAAAAAGGAAAGGAAATATAGCAGGAAGAAATTAAACAAGGGAAGGAAAGAAAGAAAGAAAGAAAGAAAAAGAAGCCAATAAACAAATAAGAGAAGAGAAGGGAAGGGAAGAGAAGAGAAGAGAAGAGAAGAGAAGAGAAGAGAAGAGAAGAGTTGTTCCTATTGTTCGAGCAGGATTCAGTCCTGACACTAGAAGATGCTGAGGAGCATTGAGGGTCAACATGTAATGGCAGTGAATGGCTCAGCTGGAAGAGAACAGGGCAGAGGGATCTGATGAGAAACCAGGGTGTCCTCCACTGAGAAGCAGTGGGCAGGCCGACCATGCACTGTTAGGTTAGCACGACAAAAAAACAGCGGCAGCTCAAGGAGTCGGGCGGAAAATGAGATGTGAATGGGGTTACTGGGGGGAGAAATTGTCAAGTGGATCATCCATAGCCATTAACACAGACAGGGAGCCAGGAAGCTGCCAGTGATTCAGTGAAAAAGAGGCTTTCTCCATCTTTTCAGTGTACATGCTTGTCTGTCCACATAATAGACAACAAGACAATGTGTGAAGATGCATATAAACTGACCGATTCCAAAGAACACAGCTTTGTATCCCTCTTCTTTCAGCGAGAGAAGCGTCATTCCATCTTGGCCGAGTTCTCGGTCACAGACAATCTGAAATAGAGTTCAAACAAGCCATATCAATAGAAGCAAGACCACAGAAATTCTCCATGAAAGACCAGAAGCTCATCTGAAGGCATGTAAAACGGGGTCTGTTTGAGATTGCAGGAGGGCATCTCTGAATTCATCTTGTGGCAGTGGAAAAAACGGTTGGAAAAGTCTCTGTCTGCCGAAAAAAAAACAATGAAGAAAGAAGCAAGAAAACAAACAAGAAAGAAAGAATGAAAGAAAGAAGTTCATTTGAAGGTTTGTAAAATCATGTCTGTTAGAGGTCTCAGGAGGGCGTCTCTGAATCCTTCTTATGTCAGTGGAAAAACATAGGAAAAGCCTCTCTAAAAGAAAGCAAGGAAAGTGAAGGAAAGGAAGTAAAAGAAAAGAAAATGAAAATAAAGAAAAAGAAAAGAAAAGAAAAGAAAAAAAGGACAGCAGAGAGGAAGGAAGGAATGAAAGAAGCCTTGTTTGAGAAGAATGGAAGGAAGGAAGGAAGGAAGGAAGAATGGAAAAGAAAGAAGGATGGATGGTGAGAAGTTTGGACGGAAGAACGAAAGGAAAGAAGGAAGGATGGACAGACTGATGGATGGACGGAAGGAAGGAAGGAAAGAAGCAAACATGTCTGTTCGAGCTTTCATGTTGGCATCTTCAACTCTTTTTTGTGCATATGAGAAAAAAATGTGAAAAAAGTCAAGAAGCCAGTCGCAAAGAAAAGATGAAAGGAAAGACGAAAGGAAAGGACAAGTTAGGAAGGAAGCAAAGAAGGATGAAAAAGAAAAAAACGAAGCTCAGTTGAAGGCCTGTAAAACCGTGTCTGCTTCACAGGAGGGCGTATCTGAGTACTTTTTGTGTCAGCGGAAAAGACGTTGGAAAAGTGTCTGTCCTCCTCCAGAGCCTTACATCCACTCCCACTCTCCCTGAGTCTGTTTATAGGTACTGAGGGAACATGCAAATCTGTCATCTCACCCCCCCTCCCAATCATCCTCAGCTCTTCACGAACTGCGGAAAAAAGCATTTCCTGTGTAAAATGAATCCTGAGCAGGTGTGCCGGATGACGACTATTGATTGCCCTTTCCCGTAGCTGAAGCATTCAGGAAACAAACAGACAGGCAGTGTGCAGCCCCGAGGTGCTCGGCTGCCGCTGTCTGCCACCTCTAATGCAACTTTTAATTGTTCTTAATTAATGCGGCTGACATTTGGACCACTGATCCTCCCTGAGACCTCTCGCCCCTCCCAGCTTTTAAAGAGGCAGGTGGGAGTGCACAGGGGCATGAAGGAGGGGTAGGATAGGGAGGTGTGATGGCTTTCATTACCTTCACTCCCAGGTCTTTCATCAAATCCACCTCAAACTGAACCACATCGTACGGCAAGCGGAATTGCGGGATCTCGGAAGAGCTGAAAATCAAGAGAGGGAAAATGAAATGAGAAGAAAAGGAAGGGGAGTAAGAAGGAGTCCCTTAGAGATGAGAAGTTAAGGGAAGGAAACAGAAAAATTCCACCCTGTGCTAAGGATTGTTCCATCTCTGGAATTCTTTCTTATGTTATAGGTTATTTAGTCTTCAATTGTGCCGGTCTAAATGAGAACACAGCCCCAGAGTCTTGTTTCTAGTACCAGATTTGAGCTGCATTGGATATTCAAGGCCCCCTGTATGCAATTGACATGCTGGTTAAACTAAACATCGGTGGAGATACAACAGCACGTAACTGATAACCTCATCCCAGCTCAGCATTTGAGAGATGAATATTCCCAATTACAGAGACCATTCATTAATTATTCTGACCTTCTACAATGTGCCCCATATTGACTGTGGCTGGCCAGATCAACAATGCCCTTTAGTGGACCATCTTAGATACAGGATGAGACTTCTGAGTAAGAACCATGGGTTAGAGTAATTACAGACCTCAGTCCTCCAATGAACCTCTTCTTCTCGAAAATTGTGATGTCGTCGTACCCCAAGCGGGCCAGGAAAGAGGCGCAGCTGATGCTGGCGGGGCCGCAGCCGATCAGAGCTATTTTAGTGTGATAGCTCTCAGGAATCTGATGTGGAGGCGGGAGATCGGGATTCCGTATCTGAGGAACTCCCATTTGTTTGAACACCTGCAAACACACCAGAAGAAAGGCAATGCATGTTCATAATTGTACCTTCATTGGGAAATTGGAGATAATTTTATGGTTCTGATTGACTGTCACAACCTTCAGAAAACTTGCAAGATTCAAGATGACAAATTTGATGTAAGGACCAGTTCAAACTAGCTAGCATGAATTTCTGCCTGGTTAATGCTGGTTAGTTCAGGTTTGGTGCCAATATAGTTGGTGGAAACCATAAAGTCTAACTGATGAAGCTGGACTATCAGTATAGATATTCTGGTGAAACCAGATATCAATCCATTCACCCATACATCTATCTACCATATATCCATCTATTCATCCACCAATCCATTCATCCATCCATTCACCATTCTGTCATTCTAGCCATCATTCTGATGAAGCTGGTCAAAGATGGTCTTTCTGGTGTAGCTCACTGAACAAGTTTTGCTGGTTAATCTAGTTCTAAAGTCTGGTGGGAATACCAGATCATCAGGACCCCAAGCAGCATGCTAGTGACCAGCTCTGCTGGGAAAAACACCACTCTCACATTCAGAGGCCAAAAGTGATATTGTCTCTATTGAGAAAACACAAGCGTTGAGAGTCTGCCTGGATGCAGAGTCTGACATCCTCCTAATTTGCCTGAGGAGAAAAAAAACATTACACACATGAATATATAAACCATGTGGCAATTTGATTCATCACTTCACTATTAAAAGCCAAAGCAGAAAGCCCACTCAGAGGCGGTAAGACAAAAGCGACACAAAGAACTCATTCAGCTCCTAAGAACAGGACCCAAATGAGAAGACAAAGAAAAAGGAATAGCAGAAACTCATTCATTGTGCCAGAGTTTTTAATGCAGATGAAGACATCAACATAAAGATAGTTAGCAGATACATAAAAAACACAGCAAGTTATCCAAACAGGCATTAATGAGGAGCCTGTGGCGGTATATCCATTACAAGTAGTAAAATAGGAGGGCTGATGCTTTGTCTTTCTAATAAGATTAGCCAGATCCATATGTAAAAGCCTGCATTGTTAATACAATATTATGCCTGAACAGGCAACAATATAGGTGATATTAATATAGTTATTCATGAGTTTCATGGACTGTGAAGACCAAATTGCTATATGACAATGCATTTGTAATAATCCCTGAGAGCAGTTTATAGACTCTTCTATTATTGCGGTTTCAATGAAACAAACAATGCGGCAGTTCAAAGCACAATCTAATCTCTTGACAGATCAGTATGGCTACATTTGAACAATGGACTTCAGACTACACCTGAAAAGCCATGTGGCAGCAGGCCAAACTTCATGGAGGTAAAAGGTACCATACATTAGTCCCACAGACATGCAAACAACCTCCTCTGAACAAGACAGTGGCTGTACTAAATGACATAATGCTCATCAGATCAGCAGAAATTAAGGCAAACTTTACATCAAAACATTATATATACTACCATTGTGCAGCAGCAAGCATCACAACAAAAAAAATAACCTCAAGTTTGATCTAGGAAAATGTATTCAAATGTATAGGGCCCCATTCCTATATTTTGCCT